GACATTGCTGTTATAAAAAGAACTATTTCAGATGTATTAAGAGGATTCCATTCATTAATCACAATTTTTCTCTTCCTTCATCTTTAAATTTTTGGAGACAGTTTGTTCAGGCAGTTTTGGCTGTAAAATAAATGGGAAAACAACAATACAATTCTGCGTCTCCTAAAATATTCTCTGGCTTTTTTTTCCTATGAAACATGACACAATCCTCGCGGGCAGAATGGCTGCACACAGTGCACATGTATTTTGTACAAGACAGCATGTAACACCGTTAGCACTTGAAATGGCATGAAATCTGGACAAAACACACCAGTGGCTTGGAAAAGCAACATGAGGTATTTCACAAATGCAACTAAGATACCTAACAAATACAACAAGAACCACATTGTTATGCTGTCTGGTCCAGGAAGCAATGCTTTTATCACATGTTGTTAATAGGAGCCTTAGCTGTGCTTGATCACTTCCCAAATAAGCTGTTTAAACATGAAGCATTAGACTAGAATGCTGAGCAGTTTTGCAGAGGAAAGGGGTTAACAATTCGGAGTATTAAACCCTGTTTGATCCGCTGAGAAATTCAATGCAGCAAGAGCATGATTTTACTTAATAGCGTGTCAGGAGAGGAGGTTGCCAGAGGTAGGATGTTTTCCTCCTGGCTGAGGTTAGGCTGCCGGAGCTGGCCCATCTGCCATTACATGGAGTCCTGCCATTCCCCTTCCCCATGGTCCCACTCCCTTTTGCTGTGTGTTTGCACATGTGTGTGTGTATTCACATCTGAGCTCCCCTTTCTTTCCTGGCAGCTGCTGTAGGTGTGTTGTAGATGCATTTTTGGAAGCCTCCCAAGGCACAGATACTCCCGGCCCACAAGAAGGTGCCTCATTCTCCAGGTGGAGGCCTCCCAGCTTAGGTACCAGTAATTACTGAAGAGAAGCAGAGTTTTTCCCTAGTGTGCTGACGCACAGACACATTCACTGCTGTGGGTGCCTCTGAGGGCTGGCTGTTAAAACCACGAGTACAAGGGAGCCATACAGACAGTGTTTTCCTTTTGTGCATACTCTGAATATCACAGATCCATTTTGTGCCTCCTTGCAAAGCACTAGAGACATGACTTGGAGAAGAATCACGGAATCGTAGAATAGTTAGGGTTGGAAACGACCTTGAGATCATCCAGTTCCAATCCCCTGCCATGTGCAGGGATACCTCACACTAGACAATGTCACCCAAGAGTCCATCCAGCCCTGCCTTGAACACTGCCAGGGATGGAGCATTTATCAGTTCTTTGGGCAGCCTGTTCCAGCGCCTCACCGCCCTCACAGTAAAGAACTTCTTCCTTATGTCTAACCTGAACTTCCCCTATTTAAGTTTTAATCCGTTACCTCTCCTCCTATCACTACAGTTCCTAATGAACAGTCCATCCCCAGCATCCCTATAGCCCCCCCTTCAGATACTGGAAGGCTGCTATGAGGTCTCCATGCAGCCTTCTGTTCTCCAGGCTGAACAGCCCCAACTTCCTCATCCTGTCTTCATACGGGAGGTGCTCCAGTCCCCTGACCATCCTCGTGGCCCTCCTCTGGACTTGTTCCAACAGTTCCATGTCCTTTTTATGTTGAGGACACCGGAACTGCACACAATACTCCAAGTGAGGTCTCACAAGAGCAGAGTAGAGGGGCAGGATCACCTCCTTCGACCTGCTGGACACACTCCTTTTGATGCAGCCCAGGATATGGTTGGTTTCCGGGCTGTGAGCGCACACTGAAGCCGGCTCGTGTTCAGTTTCTCATTGACCAACACCCCCAAGTCCTTCTCCTCAGGGCTGCTCTGAGAAGGATGGAAAATTTGTCAAAACGTTGCCACTTTAACAGAAAGCTGGTCGAGTTCCATTACTTTTAATAGAATGTACCTTTCTTTTACTGCTGCTAATGCAGAAAGCAGCTGATCATATTCTGTGGGGCTCACATTATTTTTCTAATACTTTGTCTTTGGAACAAACCAGAGCATATTGCATGTCAAAAATGGTGAGGATTTTATGGAGGAAGACAAGACATGGATTCCCAAGGATTCTTTTTGCTTCCTCTAGACCTCTGAGAGAAGTTGAGTGCTATACTATACCAGCAGACACATAGGTGCTTCTTAAAAACACAAAGGATTGTCATTTGTCACTTTAAAGTGCATTCAGTATGCACTTTGGGTTGTTAGACCATTTCGTCATGCGCTTGTGCAACACCTCATCCACAGTTGCAGCTCTTTGCTGTAATACAAACAGTGATGATAAATTAATGTCTGTCTTGGCAATATTGCTACAGTATCCAATTATGAGAAAGTGTTTTCATTAGAGAAAAGAAATCAAATGGCAGATTCCACTGTCTCTCACCCTTCCTGTCTGTGAACAAGCTAGTCCTTGTTGTAAACCTCATATAACTTGACATGGGGGAGGAAGCATTGTGGAAGCCCCCCCTTAAAATAAAGGTAGCTCTTAAGTAGTTATTTCTTGGGATCTTTTCTAGTAGAGGTAACTATTTCAAAAGTAGAAGAAAAGGGTTCCTAGAAAACCAAATCAGTAATTTCACAAGTAGCAAGAGCCTGAGCAGGCAGAGGTGTAATGCGTTGCAAACATGATTCTTCTTTTGAACCCAAAATTGCTGGCACAGAAGTAACTATATGCTGTTGTTCACCTTCTGAAGTCTGGGACTGCCTCCCTATGTGATACAGAGTAGACAGCCAGAATCCCTGGATAACCAGCTTCTATAGCTGTGCTCTCGCAAGGCAAACACTGATGCCTTGGGCTGATCACATAACACTGTGGCTGAGAGCAAGGAGATGACTGGCATCACTCAGAAGTACCTTACCAAGAATAAACATCCATGGAGCCACTGCTCTCCAGAGCTGCTCTCAAGGGCTCACTGAGTTTCCTGGAGACACAAAAATTGACTGCCAAGTAGCACTCTTGGCATCCAGGAGTGGTTGCATTGGTACTCTCTCTCAGAGAAGAACACGTGCTACCTTTAGGCTGGCAAAGCTTCTAGGCATGTGTTTCTGCCGATGCTACAGAGAGCCATGGAAATCTGTGGCTGGCAAAGGTTAATAATGTTGCTTCATTAGTTTTCATGTCATATATATGTCAGGATACGGTCCTGAATGCACACACTAATTTTGTTCAGTGCCCTTATAACCTTAGAGAGAATGAAGCAGGGAGCCTTTGCAAGAAGCATTATTTGACATCGGCAAGCCTGTAGGATAGAGGCAGAGAGCTGAGAGAAATGAAAGGTGTCCCACATAATGTGTAGAAACTGCTAAGTTATAGACAGCAGAGGGATAGCCAAGACAGCAGGATGCATGGAGTGCTTACAGACGAGTGGAGGAGTGAAGACAGCACGGGTAGCCATACTTCCTCTTTATATCTCCCAGCTGCTGCTCCGTGGGCAAGCTCAGCTCTCAGAACACGAAGTCTGCATGACAGAACAGCAGTTGGGAGATACAAAGGCAGGGATTTGAATGCAGTGTGTATTTTAAAACATGAAAAGACTGCAAGAGTCCAATCCCTCCTTGTCCTTTCCCCTGCCCAGGCTACCTTCAGCTCCATTAATCTCAAGGGAAAACTAAATTGGCCTTTGAGCTAGGGCTTTCCTCTCTGGTTACCGTGCTTGGACTAAGCAGTGCAGGCTAACACACGGACGCTGGAGCTGTGCATTAAAGGCACTCCCATCCCCAGCTGGAGGATGCTATGTTAAGGGACTGCCACCTGGCAGCATCTTCAAGGAACTGCAAAAACGCTAATGAGAGACCGAAGCTGGTGAGCATCAGCCTCCTGTGAGGCTTGTGGGTGTAATCACCTTATCAAGGAGTTTCCAGCTCAGTTAAAAAGTTGCTTTTCCTTTGAGAATAATCCCACTGTTTTCCCTCTCTTAATTCAAATTGGCTGAGGAAGCCTGAGCTGGTTGTGCTCTGTGCTCTGAAAGCTAAGCTCTTGCTTTGTGAAGATACACCCAGGGAGGAAGATCCCACCTTGTCCCCACTCTCCTGGACAGCAGAGAAGACCAAAGGTGAAAACTTCACCGAAGAGTGTTATGAGATGAAAAGAACAATAAAATAATGTCACTTGGTCAAGACCTGGTAACCCAAATTCTTTCACTTTGAAGTCTTCAGTACAGTCCCCTTGCCTGTGCTATCCTTTCCTTTTTTCTGTGTTTTGACAGGCTGGCTGATGAAACGATCATCTCCTTAAATACATGCTCTGGATTTTCCCCCAGAAAAGTCTTCTTTCAGCCCGTTTGCCTCATGCTTTCTAAAACAGTCAACTTTGAAAAGGAGCACCCAGCAAGCAGCAATTTCCACAGCCTTTCAGTGCACTTCAGTTTTCCTGCCCTTTGGGAATTGTCCTCTGCTGCCCAATATCACAGGTAACAAACTTCCAAACTTTTATTTGTAAAGAGACACCTGCATGTACAAGACAAATCTAAGGTTTATCTGATTCTGAGAGCCTTTTACCAATAGCCGCTCTGTTTAGCAGGTGAAGGGCGCTTGGCTAGTGAATGAACTCCAATCATTGCTATTAGTAGTAGTAAGCTTGGCTTATCTCTTCATAATTTACGTACAAATTTGCATACAGAGAAAAGCCCAAGAGAGATGGAAAGCTGGAGAGGTTGAGTGCCTTTTCATTTTTTGGAGCCAACACAAACAGCAGGCTAAGGTCCTGACCCACATCACTGACACACCTTCAGTGGTGACCTCTTAGGACCATTGCTAGATGTGACAGTTCAACTAAGCTTGGTCATATTTTGAGGCTATGAAGAAGTTTGCCAATGAGTATCAAATGAACATTTTTTTCAAGAAAGATATGATAAAAGCCTACTCTGGCATTTATGCAAGTCACCAGACACTGACCTGGGGCCAGAGTTTGTGACCTAAATATGCACCTACCCTGCATATGCCCTGTGCTTCCCAGATCCCTCTTATCCCCCAACCCCGTGGAGCTGAGTTCAGCAGGGGGGACCGTGATAACTCACCACTCTGTGTGCGCATCATCAATCACTAGGAGGATCTTGGGTTTCTGTGCCACAGGAGGTGTGGGGCTGGCTGAGTGATCAATCAGTCCTGCAGCCGCTTGAGTGGTTTGCTTCATGGCACTGGAGATGGAGCTGAAGATGCTGGCGCCAGTAGAGGAGGAGTGCGTGGGCTGCGGTGGCTGAGGATGCTTTCTCTCCATAGCAGGAGAAACCGGGGAGCTCGTGGAGCTGTCAGGGCGCTGCAAGTCCATCATGTACCCATTGGGCAAATTTGCCACGAAACTACTGTCCGAGAGACGCCGCCGGAGGAAATTCATTGTTGCAGCGTTGTGTGGAAACCTTCTCAGCAAGAGTAGGGCTGAACAACAGTGTCACCAGTCCTGGGGAATGTTTCTGTGTGTGTGTAGGTACCTCCTTGCAGTCCAGCCAGGCAGGCTTTCCCCCTTGAAATCCTGGTGGAGATATACACCTTAGTTTTTCAGCTGTATTTTCTTTCTCTCCTGTGGGAAGAGAATTAAAAACATGTATGTGAGATACATACTGTCAACATGAAATAAGAAAAACTCTTTTGGCTTTTAAATGGGTACCTAAGTCAACAATGAGACAAAAAAGGACTACTGGTTTCTATCCAGTATGCTACACTGGTACAGCCAAACAGATAAGTATGTTTCATGGCTCCCCCTCATCCCAAAATTTTCCTGGTTGAGGCTGCTTAGGTGCTACCAATTTTATAACTGCTCATTATGGACAAAGAAAAATTACTCTAAATGTTAATTTTCAAAAGAGAGACAGCTTATTTCTGGTATTTTGTGTGTTGGAAATAGCACATGCTTGTTACAGCATAGCCAGCAAATGACCAAAGGATAAAAAGTTGTATAATCTTCAGCTGGTTTGTAAGCAAGGCCCTGAACTTAAGAAAGGTCCTACATTCAAATACAATGTAGAAAATAAATAGCAGAAAAATACACATCTTGATCAATTTCAGTGACAGCTACCCAAAGAAGTGATACATGCTCCATCCTTGGCAGTGTTCAAGGCCAGGTTGGACAGAGCCTTGGGTGACACGGTCTAGTGTAAGGTGTCCCTTCCCATGGCAGGGGGTTGGAACTGGATGATCTTAAGGTCCTTTCCAACCCAAAACTTTCTGTGATTCTACGATTCTTCTTGTTACTGTCCCGCTACTCTCTGCACTCAATTAGACTTGGACTGAAGTGCCTGCTGCTGGTTGCTAACACAGCAGACTAGCTGATTTTACAAATTCACTTGTAGGATTTTTGCAGGTACATGAAACTAGGAGTTTGTCCAATCCTCACATACCTTTTCTTCTGTTGTTGAGTTTTTTGTTTTGTGTTAAGAAGAATGGTCTCTTACTTGCTCATCTTTTCCAGTGAGAAAATGAGCAGTGTGAAATATAACTAGCTGGCTCTATTCGCTTGACCATAGTATGATGACTTTGTTTTCACATAGAACTCTAAGTTTTTCAGCAGTTAAATCATCTCACATTAGGAGTTACTTTTAAAAAAATTATTCACTTGAAGGCACTGCCCAGAAATGAGATTTCCACAGTAATTCCTCAAGACCTTTTATCTTCTGAGACAACCTTTGAGTCTTGACCATGGGCTGGTTAGTGGGATTGAAGGGAAAAAGCCCACAACACACACTGCTGGTAAAACATCCATGTTTTTCAGGACGGACATATCTGCAGCAACAAAAGTGACAGTTATCCCATGCATCAAGTAGAATGAGTCACATGAATTCCTAGCATCATCGTCAATGACCCCCTTCAAGTCATTTTGAGGGAGCCCCCTACAAACACTGGAGCTCCTTGCCTTCATCTGCCTGGTCTGGCCTCCCTCACTGCTCACACTCATGTCCTAGTGTCCGATTGCCTCCCGATGTTTTTTCCCAGTTGGTCCAAGAGAGCTCGCCATCTCCAAATCTCTCTCCTGGAGCTGTGGCTGAGAGCTCATGGTGCAATCAAACAGCTTTCTTAAAATAAGCTGTGATTTTTTCTCACCTATACGGATTTACAAGGCTTTAGAGATGAAGTATTCAGACTTGCCTATGTTCATACATCTCTTAGCCCCCAGAGCCTTAGGGAAGCTTGGATGGGCCTGCTGGGAGTCAGTGAGGTACAAAAAGCCCCTTGGCACATGTTCACCAAATCAACCATCACCACCCTGACCCCTTAGGCACGGGATCTCTCTGGAGCAGAGGGCTCCCTGCTAAAGATGCTGACTTTGTATTATTAGAGCAATTTTCTTTTGATTTCTCAGCCCTGGCAATGCAAGTCCTCTGACTTTGCCAGACCCTGGAGGTAGTCTTTTCCCAGGGAATAGCTCAGGAAATCTTTAATGACTTCCTGCCACATTTACAGTTGATAACGTATCTCAGGGCATTGTGCTGACTTCCCGCCTGGTCCTGGCGCGCCCTGTGGCTGCACAACATCAGCAAACGCATACAGTGGTGAGCACTTCAGCAGCGCAGACTGTTTATGCAGCAGTTGTTCCAAAAAGCAAGTAACATACAGTATCCATGAATTATGAGCTAGCTACTTAGCTCATGTATACAGCCACCCAGCACCTAGCCTGCTCATGTCCTGCCTCAATAACTGTGAGTGCCAGCATAGAACCACCCACTGTTACCTGCCTGGGTTGAACAGAGTGGTAGAGCCTACAAAGACTCTGGGGGATTTATATGCTATAGGCTGTATAAATATGCACTGGGATGTCCTCTACTCAGGAAACTGTATTTTCTACCCTGTATGCCACAAATAAGAAAAATCCTCATTCTTTTAATGACAGTCCACTCAAGAATAGGTCCAGTTAAGAGGAGCATCCCAGAGATCTGTCTACCGTTAGAAGGGCTTCAAATGAGTACCCCGTTACATACCTTCTCTTGGAGGACCTTGGCATTAACTGTCAAGAGGTGGGATGTAATTTTGACACCAGTCTCAGGAGAATCTGTTTTAGGACGAGACGCCCGCCCTTTGTATGCTTTGCGCAACATAGCAGAGCTGCCGGTTCCTGCTGTGACAGCTCTCAGCCACGGGAGGGAACCTGACCTCAGCCATACAAGCTGGACAAGGCTCTTTTTCAAGCCAGCATCCTCGGGATAGGGTTCACCAGTTGTGTTCACTTAAAAGTGATTTTCTCCCACTGCTAGGTGCTTGCATTGCTGCTTCCTTCTGTGCGAGATTTGCACTCTACAAAAGCACATGGGCTCCTTGTAAAGCACTAGCAAGTAAAGCAACAGGCTAATGCTCTGCCCTGCACTGAAGGAAGAAGGGCACGGAGGCATCTGGCATATGGTGTCCCAGGGCTGGGAAGGTTCAGGGTACCCTGTGAAGTGTACACAGGTATTTTACAACACAGGTTTCTTTACAATCATAATTATTGCAAGGCCATGACAGCTTGTCTCCTGGACAGTAATATTTACAGTGACCCATCATTCTCTTCCACCAGGGGTTTGGTAGTGGAAAATGTTGCCCAGGAAACACTGGGAGCTGGCAAAATTCTCCTGTCCAAAATTTGGGATGCTGCACTGAGGCTGGCCTTTCCCTCTACTGGCTGGCACTGCCCCTGCTTGCTGCGAAGACTTGGGCTGGGTGCTACTGGCTTGTGAAAGGAGATAAAAACTAAGCAGCTGATGTCAGGGGGAAATCTCCATCCAGCAAAGCATTCAGAGGCTAAATTCAAACAGGATGGCACTGCTGCAGCAGAGTGTAATGACTGGTTCCACTCTGGGATGGGGGATGGCAAACCTACCAGGAGTGTTGACTTTGGATCTGTCAAAGTGGTGACAGAGACTGCCCTCCTCTTGTTATTTACATTTTTCTGATGAGCTGGGTAATGTAATTAAAATAGACTTTCCGTTTTTGAGTGAAGTTGTTGGTCGCTTCACTGTATTGATTTATTGATAGCCATTAGTGCTGCCACAGAGGCCTTCTCCGCAATGGGAGCAGTGTAAGCTGTCAGCGGATTCCTCTGCTTACTGAAAAACCTCATGTTCTCTTTCTGCATCATGCACACTTGCTGTTATTTAACTTTCAGCAGTAGGCATTTTCATATAGATACAGGCTGAGTCGGTACCTAATTTTCCTGCTGCTTAAAACTCCCTGTGGACATCCTGAGTGCTCAGCATGTCAGGCCAAATCTGGCTCTGTGCAGTTTTCACAGCATGCAGCTCTCACAGAGCACAACATCCACCTGGTGTATTCACAGATCCTATGCTAGGACGCAACTGGGGCTGTAACTTCAATAAAGCCAGGACCTCCTTCAGAAGCAAGACAAATCTGCTAAGTGATATTTTGTCACTCCAGAGCCAACAGGTATGGGAGCAGCTGGCTACACACCATCAAGTTGCACCTTGCCTCTGTGTACAGCAGTGTCTTCATATGGCTCACATGGAGACAAGTTGCCTACTTAATGTTGTGCCAGGCATAAATGCACCCTTAGGAAGGCCTATAGCCCTCCACATCTGAAAACAGCACACAGGTTACTTCCAGGTGAGGCAGCAGGTCCTATTGTGTTCCTCAAACTGCTATACAGCAGCTGCCTCCCACGAGGCAGGAGTAACCTGCTGCTGTGTCATACATCTGCTCACGAAAGCCAGCAGGGAAAACAGAGGGATCTGGGCCATGGAGCTGCAGGTCAAGGAACTGGGCTATGGGAGAATGAATAAGTCCTGAGGAAAGAAAGCAGGCAGGAGAGAGGGAGAGAGGAGGAGGAGGAGGAGGAGAAGGTACAAGCAGAAAGGCAGGAAGTAGGCAGGAGTCAGCTTAACCAAAAGATGATGTAGGAACACGCAGAGATGCCAACAATGAGAGCACAGTCAGGGACTCAGAAGGAAACAATGTGAGCAACTAAGTGAAGCAAGCAGAAGGTCAATTAGATCTGACCTTGAAAACAACAGCGAAGAGGCTGGCACCGGCAGCCCCTTACTATCACGCAGTTAAACTTCCTGGCTGATATTTTTGGAGGGGCAATGGAGGGTAAGCAATCTGCTCCCTCAGCACCTTGACAGCAGCCAGGCACCTACCTGCTTTTTCTCAAGGATGTACTCCACAGAGATGCAAGTTATCTCAGAAAACCTGTTGACATGTGTTAGAAAACAAGAACAAAACGTTCACTTAAACCTCTTGTGGGGCTGCTTTCTAACGTGCGGTAGCATCTACAGGGAACCAAACTCAAGTGGCTGATGTCTGTTAACTGTGCTTAGATTTCCCTGGAGCTTGTTATCTATGCTGTCATGTAATGAACTGACATGACTATACCAGCCTGCATCTGATTCCTGCTCTTAACAGCCTCAATGGAGCAAATCTGGAGTTAGCAACATGAAAAACCAATGCGGAGAGATTATCCTCCCACCTCACCATAAGGGACTGCACACTTATTTCTGACCCTATGGTGGATGGGAAGATGAGGAGGCCTTCACTTGGTAACAGCCACTTACTGATATCCCTCACCTACATTTTGCAGATAGCCTTCAGTATACATTC